AGTTGCACTTTGCGTGACCGCAATGGGTGCCATTTGTCAGGAAAGACCAATGCTGGCCACTAGAAGCTCAGATTCTTCCTGCTCTTCCCCGGGGGCGAAAAAGAAAAAGACCTACTGTGTTCACCGTGGTGCTTTCTACCTCTCAGCCTGATGGAATGTCACCTACAAGGGTAGGTGCTTTGGACACTGTGCTGTGGGAGGGACCACATAGAGGCAACTTTGCCCATAAACACCAGGTCCACAAGTCTTGCAAGTGACTTGCTGGTCAGTCAACTCTAGCCCCAGAGTGAATTTGTGAAATTTTCTAGAAATTTCTAGGTTTTCTAAAAATTTCTTCTTAGGCTTATTGTTAAGAATTAAATTTTCCCAGGATGATCATTCATCATGGGGTTCTGTGAGTTTGTAGAGAACAAAATAGGCAATAAATTATTTTAAGATTCTCTCTCCCTTTCTCCCTCTCCCTCCCTCTCCCCCCCCATTTTAGAATTTCCTTTCATAATGTATTAACATAGTGTACATCAGTCATCCAAATAGGAAGTCCAAATAGTCTGGTCATGATGATCACTTTGGCCAGACCCTAGCATTCTTTATCCACTGGTTATACATGTTTTAGATAAGAACAGCAGACCTTGACTCTGCTAAAGTGTGATTGAATAGGGAACCCTTGTATTTAAATTTTTTTTTAATATTTCTATTTATTTTTGACAGAGAGAAAGGGAGAGAGGGAGAAAGAGAGCACACACAAGTGGGGGAGGTGCAGAGAGAGAGAGAGGGAAACACAAAATCTGAAGCAGGCCCCAGGGTCTGAGCTGTCGGCACAGAGCCCAAGGTGGGGCCCAAACCCATGAACCACAAAATCGTGACCTAGGCTGAAGCTGGATGCCTATCTGACTGAGTCACTCCAGTGCCCCTGAGGCTACACTTTTATAGTAAGGAGACTAAGAAAGCTATGTGTCATTGAAGAAAAGTAAATAGATGCGGGTGACCTGACCTGCTTCATTGATTTGCTATGTCTTTTTTTAAAAAAAAGTTTATTTTGAGAGAGAGAGTGGGGGCGGGGGAAGGATAGAGGTGGGGTGGAAGAGAGAGAATCCCAAGCAGGCTATGCGCTGTTAGCGCAGAACCCAATTTGGAGCTCAGTCCTGTGAACCATGAGATCACAACCTGAGCTGAAATCAAGAGTCAGACACTTAACCAATGGAGCCACCCAGGCACCCTAAATAGTATCTCTTAAATACCTGAGTTATTGGAAACATGGAGGGTGAGCTAAGGAAGTTGTTTCTTAAAACTGTAATTCTTTTCTTCCTTTTTTTGGTCTTTTTGTTTGTTTTTTAATTCTTTACCCTAGCTGTGTGAATGCATGTTGGTAGTGTCCTCACCTTAGACAGAGACTCTTCTGTGTGGAAAGAAGAGTAGAGCAAGACTGAGAAGGTCCCTGGAGTTCCAGCAGTAGTCATCAGACATCGTTAGTCCCTTCCTGCATGCCCCTTTCACCCCTTCCTCCCCTGGCCTTGATAGGAGAACCTACTCATGATTTCTGATCACATGCCAGCTCTGAGTATCTCTGAGTATCTGCATCCAGCTGATGTTGGCATTAGTGTGCAGCAGATTTGAACTCTTACCTTATTCTGAGCCCTGGTGCCATATTTTTCAGCCTGTGCCCTGTGCTTTTCTTGACTCTGCTTTTGAGATGTGCGGTGGCCAAGAGTGTCGGCTCTGACTTTAAGTTCTGGTCACCCCACTTAATACCTGTGTGACTTTTAATACACCTCACCTCTCTAGGCTCCATGCCCTTAGCTGTAGGAGAGAGACAGTGATAGCACCTGCCTCTCGGGGGTCCCCAAGGCATAAAGGAGAAGCTCTGGGTACATCCTGTTTATTGAAAGCACACAGAAAATAGTTGTTCCTTGTCTATTTAGTCCAGTTACGTTAAACACATGCTCTACCTCACCTTCCTTCCTTGGGACCCAAGCATCATAGATTCAATGAACACCTGAATTTGAGGCCACCTCACTACTTGTGAGCCACAGAGTTTTCCATCATTCCAGGTCAGCCGCCAGGCTGTATTTGTGTATCCCACTGGTCTATGAAGCAGTGAGGACTGGTGTTCTCACTGCACAGCCCGGGAAGGTGGTGGAGAAACATCACAGGTGCCCGGGGACCCGATTTGACTCAGGAGCAGTCAGGAGAGAACATCAGGCTCCCCATGTCCATGGGTCCCCACTAACCATGAGGATTTCATGCCTTCCACATCATGATTGTTAATCCTTCCCATCAGCACCTTCCCCCTTTACCCTGAGTTTAGTTTCTGATTCATGTTTTCCCCTTTAATCCATACCCTCTTCTTTTTCTCTCTGCTTTCTCTTCTATTTTGGACGATGGACTTATGTCCCATCCTGCTTTCTCCTGTAATAGAGTCCCATTTCTTTTATTATAAACCCTACTTTTTCAAAATAAAAGTTCACTCTAGCTCTTTGTACCATCCCTGCCACACTTCTATCCCAGACTGTGGTTTCCTGCGTGCTTGTTACAAGTCCTTAAGAATCATTCGCCAGGTACGTCATTGGAGCTCTGTAAATAGTGACAGTGGACCCCCTTCATCTCGGTGCAGCATGGCACCCTGAAACTCTCACTGCATCTTTATCCTCCTCTGACATGGACACGTCACATGCTGCCTTCAGGACATTTTCCCACATTGCTGTCCGTAGTGTCTGTTATTTCTGGATGAGGGTCTTCTCAACCTTCCAGATCAGAATTGATGTCTTTTTATATCTTCACTTCAAAGCTTTGGACTTGTAGTCCCCTCTTGCTGTTTTCCATGAACACCCCCCGCCTCCCTGCTCACAGTTACCTCAGTACTGGGGGGTAATTTGTCAACAGGAGGTATGACACATGCACATTGGAGAGCGCGTTAAAGATGGCAGGCTCGAGGGTGGCCCCCCGCGGACCCTGCTCAGCAGCTGAGTAAACTACTTTTAGCTCTACCTACTGTTTTAAGCTTGGAAAAGATGACAATAGAGCTTCCTTCTAACTCTAAGCCATGTAAACAGGAACAATTGTTTCCCCTCAGAAATCTAAAATGTTTAACTCGGATGGTCTCACCGGCTTCACAGATATTTGATGAGATAGAAATAACACTTTATTCATTTGCCACAGGTTCTTTCATACTGGTCTCAAAAGGCAGCATGACAGTATAGAAAACTCTGAATCTGTTTCCTTTCTTCTCGCTAGCTACGTTGTTTTTTATTTTTATTTTTTTTTTAACATTTATTCATTTTTGAGAGACAGAGAGAGTCAGCACAACCAGAGGAGGGGCAGAGACAGAGGGAGATACACACACAATCCGAAACAGGCTCCAGGCTCTTAGCTGTCAGCACAGAGCCCGATGCAGGACTCAAACTCATGAACCATGAGGTCATGACCTGAGCCAAAGTCAGACACTTAACCGACTGAGCCACCCCAGAGCCCCTTGCTAGCTGGCTCTTTTTCTTACTAGAGTTTAATCTTAGTGGTATGTCTGTAACCTCACCTTTAAGTCTCAGTTTCCCCAGCTATATAATGATATTCTACGAGCTTTCAAGATTGTTGTAAGGAAAGCAAAGTGGACAAAGGCCCTTTATAACCAATTTTGGTGTACAGAATTAGTATTGCGATGCTCATCTTAAATTCAGTATTTAATTCTAGTTCTTTTTCTACTCTGTAAAATATGGCACCAGGGATTTGAATCATTCCACAGCCAAAGTGGCTCCCTTCCCTGTCATGGGAATTCCCGGCCATTTCATGCCAGCAATCCTGGGATGTCAACTCAGACTCAGAGTGTTCTGGAAACACACAAAGATGATCATCCCCTAACACTGCTCTATCATGACATGTGCAGGAGCAGAGAAACTCTTACTCCACCTTCCCACAATTCCTAGGGTTATGTTTGTTGAAAATTGTTAAAAAATATATCTATACCTATAGATAGATACACTTCTATAAAAGTACTCCTTTTGGAGCCCAGTGGAAGGGATGGAGTCTGAGTTTGCCTACAAGAACCCCAGCCATGGCTCACAGCTGTGTTGGAATGAACTTAAAATCACTCAACATACACCCACGACTGTACTGTCCACACGAGAAAGGACCTCACACTCAGCAAGGACCATTCAAAGGCCTTAATTAAAAGCAAGGAACTGATGATTACTCACAGATATGATATGGCTTCTTGTCTCTCCCTATTTCATGGGAATGAACATGTGAAGATTATCATGTTCTAATTTTACACAATAAAAAAAATGAACAAAGCACAACTTTCTTTTTGCTTACATGAATCTTGATTTTAACATTTTCCTAATTCTTTTCTTCATGCCCCCCTTTCTCTCTTTTTAGAGTTCATTTGCCATAAAGTAAGCAACAATATGACTTTCTTTCCCTCTCTCCTTCCCTCCTTTCCCTCCCTCTTTCCTTCCCTTACCACCTTCCTTGCCTCCCTTCCTTCCTACCGTCCATCCCTTTTTTCTTTCCCTCCTTGCTTCCCTCCCTCCCTCACCTCCAAGAAAGACTTGGCGTGAACAGGGGCACCTGGGTGGCTCAGTCGGTTAAGCGTCCGACTTCGGCTCAGGTCATGATCTCACAGTTCATGGTTTTGAGCCCCACATCAGGCTCTGTGCTGGCAGCTCAGAGCCTGGAGTCTGTTTCAGGTTCTGTCTCCCTCTCTCTCTGCCCCTCCCCTCCTCATGTTCTGTCTCAAAACTAAATAAACTATTAAAAAAAAAAAAGACTTGGCATGAGCAGCTCTAGTAAGGCCTCTGATGACATTGCTCTGAAGCGCCCTAGCAGATACTCCCCTCCAGATTGTGTTGTATGTGTGGGAGCTAGAGCTGCAACAGGCACCATACACAGCACCTCCTAGGTAGACCTGGCCCAATGTTGGCATTTTCATTTTATTGCCAAGGCAGGACAGAGAGGATGGGCCAAGAGCACGGTGTGCCACTCACCACACCACCTTTTCTCTCTTTCAGAGATTCTGACCTATTTTTGTTGGACACCCGCGTGGTGTGGGCCTCAGAAGAAGGCTGGCTGGAATTTGACATCACAGCCACTAGCAATCTGTGGGTCATGACCCCACAGCACAACATGGGGCTTCAGCTGAGCGTGGTGACTCAGGATGGTAAGTTTGCCCAAATCGGCAAACACTCTTCATTCGTTTCCCTTGCAACAGTTATGGTAGAACCATGGTTTATGGTCGAGACCACGGCTCTGGGATGACATTTACTGTTCCCGCAAAACTGCTGTTGAAAAGCTAAACCTGTCCCTGAGGTCTCCAGAAAGGACCTGGAGATAAGTAGGTCGTCTGCGTTCCAGGGGCAACAATGGGAAGACAGCTCATGGAGGCAAGGGGAGCCCAGCCTACCTTCTGACAGTTGGGTGGGTTTGCACGGGAACCCTTCCAGTGCCCCCTCCTCCTGCAGCATCAAAGCCCAGCAGCCCAGGGTCCTCCTGCGGGTCCCAGATGGGGCACACTCTGCCTGTGAAGTTGCCTCACTGGTTGGGAAATTTATAATCAGAAAGAAAGAATGGTCATGTCAGGGGAGGTATATCAGGGATGAGCAAGCCTAGGTGTTCACACCATCTCTGGCTCTAATTCATGGAGCTTTGGAAGGAGTGTCTTGATTCTGCCCTTCCGAAGGGAGTCACCGGGGCTCTGCACAGTGCTCTTCCTGCCTGCTCCTCCTTCGTGGCTGCCACCTGGGTGGCCAGGAGAGCTCAGCTGTGCAGCTGCAGGAACAAGTTTCCATGGCATAAAGACAGGTGCACTATGCTTTGCCTTTAAGGACTCAACATCAACCCACGAGCCGCAGGCCTGGTGGGCAGAGATGGCCCTTATGACAAGCAGCCCTTCATGGTGGCCTTCTTCAAAGTGAGTGAGGTCCACGTGCGCACCACGAGGTCAGCCCCTGGGCGGCGCCGACAGCAGAGCCGCAATCGCTCCACCCAGTCGCAGGATGTGTCGCGGGTCTCCAGCGCTTCAGGTGGGTCTGGGTGGAGCCTGGGTTTTCAGGAAACCTAGTTGGCTCTTGAGCCTCAGTGAGAACAAGGATGCATTGATGGTTTTAGCTGTCGCATGGCTTCTGCCTGGCAAGTACAAAAGCCCACAGGTGCCTTGTCACAGCCACCAATTATCTAGATGGGTTCCTAAGGCCATCAGAAGGGAACATTTGTTATCCAGGTACTGGGTCTACAGGCTGACTACCTCCCGAGAGTCTGTTTTTCCAGAAAAGCATCCTTCTGTTTGATTTCTCTTAACTCTTTCATTCACATAAAGATCCTGAGCATACCTAGACTTTCTTCTAGTAGCATCACATCTGGGAGGTTGTGGTGTACAAGAAAACTTTGTCTACTTGCAGAAGATGGGCTTGTCAGTGCTCTTGGCTGAAAGTGATGGAACATCAGCTCAAACAGCCATCTCTGATGGATTTCATTGGTTCATTGAACTGGGAAGTTGAGGGTTCTGGCTTTAGGCATGGCTGGATTATGGGCTCACACGGTGCTAGGAGTCTTGCTTTCTCTTTTTCTATTTTCCCTTGTTGGTGGCATTCTCAGAAGGACCATCTCTATGTGGTGGTAAGTAAGGCAACCACCAGTTCCAGGATTTTATCACCCTTCATTACCTCTGCCTCAGGAGAGAAAGTCTCTCTCATAGTAGCTTGGTAGAAAGCCAGGCTGAGGCCACGTATTGACCCTCGGGCTAGAGAATGCGGTCAGCCCCATCCTGCCCTGAGCAGGCAGGTGCAATGGGCGAGAGAGAGGAAAGAGCTCCCACTACTTGAGGATCAATTCAGTGGTCCTTCACAAATGCCCATCCCCCATGCTGTGCCTTTTTTGGGAAGCAGTATGGAAGTCCACTCTTCAAAACATGAAGGAGAGGGGAGAAGAGCTTCCCCCTGATATTAGCTCACATGGCTAGTATTGAATTCCAGTGGAGATCCATCTTACTCTAATGCCAAGACTTGTAAATTCCGGGTTTCCTCAAGCTGTTGAACTAGACCAGGAGTCAAGCATGCCGTTGAAGTTTTGTGGGTGGGATTTGAAGCCGTTGATGTTGCTTCCCTTGTTACTGCTCTGTGGTGGACTTTGGGCAAACCAGTCCATTCCAGCTCCAGTTTAGTCATCCATTCAGTGGGGGTGATTAACACTTAGTAGATTCGCTGGGATGAAATGAGAAGTATTTGATCTGGTCCATAATAATGCTCAAAGATTAGTTACCTCCAATTGTGAAAAGTAGGTTCTGAGGGCAGATGTTAGGATCTTTGGAAAGGAGGTAAAACAGTTCTGGAAGATGCATTACGTCTTCCAGGTGACTGTGTAAAAATGTCACGGTCAGTGGCCACAAAGAGTTCATGCAACTTCCCAGAGTACTCATCTTTTCTTTGGGGGGAAATGGTCTTCATTTTAGAGTCTGACTTAATAAGCCGTTTCTCTCCCCAGCAACTTAGCTGTGAGGCTTGAGAACCTACCACCCAGGGTGAGGTGACATTTTGCTACTTGTCATCCCAGTGTTTCTTGGAAGCTTTGCCCAGCATGGATGCCCCTGTGTTTACCACTAGAAACAGTCAGGGTTGGTATTTTAAAAAACATGAAGAAGAAATGATCGCTTTGCTTTATTGGCTTCAGAGGAAGCCTGCTCAAGGGTTAATCATCTCAGTGTTTTAGGCTTCAATTCATGAATGAACTGTGGTCACTTTGGTGCTGGGACCCCAGACACGAAGGCAGCTCTGGGAATGTTGATTGCTTTTTAAAATTGAAGTAGCACTTGATTTATTTACCACGCCCTCCCCCAAGTACACACTCCAGAGTTTTTCATCAGGAAAACATGTCTCTGGTTTGGGTTTCCACAGTGTCACCTGATTCTTCTTTTCCACGTCCCTTTCAACTTTTTTTTTTTTTCAACTTGATAAGTTGCAATTAAATAGGAGTATGAAAGTTAATTGAATGTGGAATAAGATGCAAGTGTATCTGCTTTTTCTTGGTCTTCCCTTCCCCACCTCCCAACCCAGTACCTGCAAGTGTGCTTTGCTCTTTTCAGCGGTAATAGGACGAGAGAGTTCATAGCAAGTGCCTCTGGCCTCTTGTTCCAAGGACAACCCCCAAGACAGTGTCACTAACAAGGACCCTCCTTCCCTCTTACTGTCTTCAAAGACCCTCTCAAGCTGGTCTGAGAAATTGCTTGGATTAGGCCCATTCAAGTGCGACTTGATATATTTGACATTTTCTTCATTTATCCCTGCTATTAATGGGAGCAGACATATAATGGAAGAGGTCACTCCTGGAGAAGGGAATTCCAGAAAGATGGTCTGCTACCCAGAGAAATGGGCCATCCAGTCAGTCTGTCCCTTATTCCAGACCACTATGAGACCAGACCTTCATGTCCTTGCTGGACCCTCATGAACCAGGTAACTGATACTGAGGCCAAGAGTTGTGGTCTCTGGTGTGACTCCAGACAGGACTTTCCCTTTGTAAATCTTCTGGAAGTTAGAAGGGAGAGATTACTTTGCCTCTGCTGCCCCCCTTCTTCCACACAGTGTTCCCAGGGAATTACTATTTCTCCACGGAAACAACCACCACCAGAAGAAGCCCATCAGAGACCATCCCGCATCTGGGCAAAGAAGTTAACACAATCCATCAAATTGCCTGTCAGCAAGGTGACCCATGGCAGGGAAATCTGTGGCTATTTTTGGAACAGAGCTGCTGATGCCTGGGCCGGTAGGCTAAGTCCACAGCAAGGAAAAGGCCCCATCCCCCTCCTCCCCACCGCCCACTGGAATCTGTGCTAACATCTGTACTTGGCCTTCAAGGCGGACTTTGCAAACACACCCACCGCAGTGTGGGTTTGGAGCGAAGGCCCCCCGAGTGGTTTTCACGTGCCCTTGCTTCCCTGCAGCTGTCCGCTCTAAATGAATGATGGATGTTGGCTGTGTCACACCTCTCCAGCGGCCTTGGACATCATCTGCACAGGATTGTTTATCACTTTTACATGTGTTTTACATGCTGGTCTGAGCCGTGCTGTGCAGCCTCTTGGCGATCCTGGTGAATCTGACAGTTCTTTTTCAGCCTCCATTTCTACCAGCCTGCTGCTCTGTGACACCCTGCCTTGGGGTTCCTTCTCTCATGGGCTGGTCTTTGTACCTGCTCTCTTATAGTAGCTTTCTCTTGGGGTTCATTATTTCAACTCCTGGGGGACCATGACACCACCTGGCCAATTTACCGGCCTTGAGGGGTAGATACCAACCTAGCTGATTTTCCCACCATCTTTCCAAACCTCGCTGCGTTGGGAGTAGTTGTTGGTGAGTCTGAGGTTTTCTGCGCCGTCAGTCCCCTGGCTGCCAATGCTGTGACTTAGAAGTGTGCTTTGCTGTGGGAGATGAGCATGTAGGAGCTCTTCTGCCACTTTTAACGATTTATGTGAAATTAGGTGCCCTTTAGGCCTCTTTCATCCTCAGTGTTTTTGTGGCTGCCACGCACCTCTGCCGATCATCTGTGAACCAACAACTCTGCACGACCCCGTCTGCCTTTTGGAATGAGTCCCTCCTTGCTTCAGATGCTACCCGTTAGCAGTTTAGAGTCCATTCTCCTTCCATCTCTTTCCAACCCACCCAGACATGTGCCTTTAAGGATCCTTGGGTGTGTGTGGGGGTGATGTGGCTCTGGTACATTTAGATATGCAACTGACCTCATTGATAGTTCATATCTTGTATCTCTTGAATTTCTTGATTGGGACCATTCGGTGTGCTTCCAGCATAAGAGAAAGGTAACCAGACTGCGTCACTTGCAAAACAGTGGTTTGGGTACTTTATTGTGACTATGAAATCTTGCTGTAGATTTCAGGGAGCCCCAGCTGCAGGCCGAGGGCCTCATTCTTACAGATCAATGTTTCATTGGCCTTTTTGTTCCTGGAAGATGTCCCTCCTAGGTCCTCACGTGCTTCCCTGGACTGGCAGGCCAGAGCCGAGCAGGCCAACCCTCGGTGACCATCCAAAGCTCTAGGGCTCTGCATTATCTGTCGATGGTTCTTCAAAGGAATTGGGAATTGTAATTTGTCATTTTGATCTTCAATTAAAATTTTAGGGCCTACGGCTTGGCTTCCAGATGTCTTGGTCAAGAAGGACAGGCCTGTGCGGGGCTTTCTAAATGAAAGCAAACCTTAATTCTTCACAGCTGTGGCCGACAGGCATGGGGCTAGTAATTCAACAGTTAGAATCATTTCAAACTCCATATTTATAATACTTTCCTTTGCCCTGAAGTCCCTTTGGGTAAAAGTGATCAGGGAGTGATAGGCTCCCCTCTACCCCATCCTTGGGTTTCCCCCGTAGGAATGTACTCACAGCCAGCAGGGCTGAAGGGTGATGGTAAAGAAGCATAAACAGGAGCTGCAAGAAGCCTGAATGATCCACCAACTACTGCTCAGCCCACGAGTAGGTCCCAGGGGCCAGGAGGCTCCCTCTAGGAGGGAACATGGAGAGCAGAGGTGCTGAACACAGAGTCTTAGTCCTCATGCTCAGTCTGGAAGAGAAGCCTGTGTCTATTTTCAAGACAGTTAATCTCCACATTCTTTGATAATTGAGATAAAGGCTGAAAGTAGGCCAAAGTCCACCCAAATTAAATGAAGTAGGAGATATGAAATCCTAGCACCACAGAAGAATGGACCTCCCTGTTGGCTCTCAGTCTAACCATCAAGGTTATAAACCAAGTCTAGATTCTGAAGATCAAGTTCTCTACCCCATCCTCCCAACATTCTGTGACATTACTGACACCCAAGATCAAGGTCTCAGTGTGGTTCCACAGTGTCCCTGCTGCAGGGAGGGAGAGCCAGAGACTCTTTTTGGATTAAGAAGGGCTGATGAGGCTGGGAGATCTGGAAGAAGCAGCCAGATCAGTGAAGACCGAGGTACCATTTCAACAGCTGCTAATGTTACACTTGCCCTTTTCATTCTAGGAGAGGAGGGAGATAAGGGTCGTGAATTGTTTCTCTAAA